CAGCCTCCAGGTGGGACCTGGGGATCCCCAGTAATTACAGCTCATCTCCAGACTACAGAGGTAAGCTCCCCTGGAGAAAATGGATGCTTTGGAGGGTGCTCACTGAGGTCCCTGTCCTCCCCAGGCTCCATCCTCAAATCTCCAGAAGTTTCCCAACCTGGAGCTGGCAATACTGCCCCCCATCCCCTGCTGGTGGCCAGGGCAGACCTGGCAACCCTATGACTGGAGAGGAGCTGTAAACCCAGGAGATCTCCCGCCCCTGCCTGGAGACCGGCGGCCTTAGGCCCCATGTTTGCATCTGATTGACTTGCGTCCTAGCGACACACCTCAGAGTCAAAACGCCTCGTCCCCTTGCAAAGCAGGCACCCTGCGTCCAAGCACATTCTGCCCTTCGCGGATCGGCGGCAATCCTCCCCACTTGCATGACAGCACCGTCACCCCCATCTAATTCCCTTCTCAAGAAATATGCCCAGATGTACGGCGCCAGCCTTCCTGAAGCCTGCACCGCCTTCTCCCCTCTGCCAAGCGGCACTTTCCTCCCAATCCCACCCGCTGCGCTTCTCCCATCTCTCACTGCTAGCGCCACCCACGTTCCCGGGCCCGCTTGCACTGCAGGCAGATTCCCGGGCTGGGCCAAGGCTCTCTTTTGACTCTACTCAGGTTTCGGGGCCCGGCTGCGCCCCAGCGCCACGCCGCTTCTCCGAACCCGAGCCCGGGAGCGCGTATAAGCCGCGCAGCCACTTACATTGCACGGGCCCGGGGAAAGACTGGGCGGGCGCGTCGCTCGGGTTCATCGTGGCCGCCGGTTGCACGGTCTGCGCTGGCGGGGGTGGAAGCGGCGGTGGAGGAGAGAAAAGAAAGGATCCTTGGCAAAAAGAAGGCCTCTGTTCTCCTCCACCTCCCCCCCCCACGAGCCAAAGGGCGGGGACGGATGTTGAGCGGCCGAGCATGCTCTGTAGCAAGGCTGAAGCCATGGCGGCGTTATCTTTGCCCTCTCGTCACCTAACGCTTCGGGAGCGGGCTTCAGCGGCGCCTCTCCTGTCAGTGGACGGCGCCCGTGGTTTAGGGGTGCAGCGGAGTAAAGGGGGGTTAAGGAAGTGGTGGTGAACTGGACTGAGTCCCCGCTGCTATTGGATCATATTCAGGGATACTCCCTTCTATACGAACAGGAGTTCAGCGGCACCGTAAAGACTGTGTGTGTGTTAAACCGCTTCCAGTTTTTGGCCACCCTATGCATTAATGTTCTCCCAAACGTCCTGTCGTTAACAGGCTTGTTCCAGCCTTGCAAACTGAGGGCTGTGGCTTCCTAGACTGAGTCAATCCACCTCATGTTGGATCTTCTTTTCCCTGCTGCCTTCGAATTTTCCTAGCATTATTGTCTTTTCCAGTGAGTCTGATCTTCTGATGTGATGGAAGTATGATCGCCTCCGTTTAAAGTTTCTTACCCCTGTATATCCTAAAAATCTAATAAAGTGTATTACAGAGTTTAAAGTTTGAGTCCACTGGCATCTTTAAGAGCAACAGGGTTTTATTCCTGGTAGAAGCTTTCATGTGCAAGCACACTTCTTTGGTATCTGAGGAAGCATGCACACATATGAAAGCTTATCCCACAAATGAAATTCTGTTGGTCTTAAAGGTGCCACTGGGCTTCAACTTTGTTCTGCTTCAGACCAACATGAGTACCCACCTGTTAAGTCATTTCAGCTTTTAGGGAGAGTTCAGGCTTGATTTGATCTAGAACGTTAAAGACTAGCAATGTTTATCCATTATACATTTTGGGGGGTGGGGGAGGCTCTGCCCTCTCAATGTGGTGTTATTTCTCAGGTGACGTTATTTACATCCATGGTGTGAAAAGTTAGACCTATCCATTTCCACACATTAAGCTTCCATGAAAGGGACGGGACATTTTTCTTCAGGCCTGTTGGTAACTGTAGTCATTTCATTAGTTGCGTGAAGTGTACATCTACAGTAGCTGATATAGTTATACTCGAATTAAAAAAATCTCTGCAGGTTTAATTCTACCTTGGCATCTTTTTGCCTCTCAAAGCTGTCGAGCCTCATGCCCCTATTAATTGGGGGGGGGGGGAGATGTGCTCCTTAAAAAAAAAATCTTCGGGAGACCCAGGCATCTCTCAGTATCTCATCTGTGGGATGGGGGCTGAAACTTACTGCATGGTGACCCAGCCGTTAAGATTTAAACCTTTCCCTGTCTGCACAGCCCTTTTCCTGGTTTCTATTCCTTGGTCATGCTACATTATCATAGATATTTTTTAATCAAGATGTTTCTACCTTGCTTTTATCCCCCAAGCAGCTTGTGTTATTTTCTCATTCTCAATTTTATCCTCTCAACAGTCCTGTTTGGTATATTAGGCTAATTGATCCGAGGGCACCTAGCCAAGCTTTCTTGACAGGGTGGGGATTTGAACCTGGTTCTCTCACATCCTACTCCACCACTCAAAGAACTAGACCACACTGGCTCTCTTAGGTCAATGGTTTTCTTCTGTGGGAAAGCTCAGAGCTTGCTAACATTGGGTTACAAGCAATGTTCCCTCTAAGCTATGGAGTCTTGTGAGCAAAAATTCTACTTTGTGAGCTACTGGCATTAAAGTTGTGAGTGAGCGATTCGGCGACTGTGTAAATTAGTTTGCTCTGGAGCCGTCCTTCCTGAGCTAAGAGAAAAATCTGTGAGCCGGAGGCTAAAAAACTGTGAGCTAGCTCACACTAACTCAGCTTAGAGGGAACACTGGTTACAAGTGGCCTCCCTCTCATCCAAACACCCAGAGGTCATTTCGGGGGGAAATAGCGGGGGATCGCAATTCCCCCGGGTGAGGTACGGGGGTGGGGCACATGACGAAGCCCCGCCCCCTGCTTCCGGCCGCCCCGCTTCCGGCCCTCATTCAGCCAGGAGGAGGCAGGAGAAGAGGGATTGGGGGCGGGGTGGGTGGCCTTATGACACACTTCCGGTGATGTCAGGGGGGGTGGCCTTATGACACACTTCCGGTGATGTCAGGGGGTGTGGCATATGCTAATGAGTTATGCTAATGAGTTCCCCTAGCTCTTTTTCTACGAAACGACCCCTGCAAACACCAATCAGGTCGACACATGCTGAAATAACAGAGAATATTCCATCATTGCTGGGTTGCACTGCTGAAGTTAATATAGAACTAAACCACCAGAAACCATATACGAATACCCCTTTAAAATCTGTCTTAAATCCCTCCATGCATTTGCATGAGGCTTGTACCCTTCCTTCGAGCAATACAGAGATGGATGGTGTCTTTGTGTGTATAAGTATAGTCTGTGCAGGTGCTGCTGCACGTTGGCATGCTTTCAAAAAAGCACTTTGGCCCCAGCCGTGCACGGCCTCACGCCCGGAAATCCATATCTAGAACTGTCTGATAAAGCTGGACTTTAAATGCCCCATCTGTCTTCCCCCCTCTCTTCTCCCTCCCCCCCAATTGACATTTGTCATTAATGTGTCAAGTTCACTTGTGCGGCAGTAGCGCACTGCCTCCAGCGGTGCGGTATCTCCCTTTCTGTCGGGTGAAGGGTGAAAAGGATTACACACGCATGCTGACTTATGCCTTGCAGGCTTGGGAGAGTGTCAGTTGCGATTCTCAGCAAGCCGTTGCCAGGCTTCCACATTTTTGGTACAGTCTGTCTTTGGGGAAGCAGCACATGCTAGGGGAGAGGCAAGTCCAGGATCAGTTAGTCCCTGGTAAATGTACGTAACATCTTTACACAAACTGCTAAATGTGCATTTCTCACTCAGCTGCACATGATAGTCCTAGTTCATGGACCCTGAGTATGTGCTGTGCTCTTAACCTATGAGCTGTATGGGTTGGATCCAGCCATCATTTTTTGGTCCATCTCCCCCAATCCTCTTTATACTGTCTCACAGGGCTTTTGTCCATGCAGGTCTCATGATCAGGGGTCATTTTTGGGGGGGACGCGGGGGGACGCCATCCCCCCGGGTGAGGTGCGGGAGGGCGAGGCCTGGAGCTCCCTGCTGGTGTCCGCTGGAGGTCGCCGCCGGCTGTGGGGAGGACACACTTCCGGTGATGTCAGGGGGTGTGGCATATGCTAATGAGTTATGCTAATGAGACCCCTAGCTCTTTTTCTACGAAATGACCCCTGCTCATGATACAGTGTGGTGTAGTGGTCAAGGACTAGTATCTGGAAGACCTGGGTTTGAATCCCCATTCAGGCCATGGGAGCTTGCTGGGTGACCTGGGGCCAGTCACACTCTCTCATTAACCTACCTCACAGGGTTATTGTGAGGATAAAATGGAGGAGAGGAGAACAACGTAAGCCGCTTTGGGTCTCCACTGGGGTGAGAGGAGGGATGTACATGAAGAAAATGAATAATAAAAATAGTCTTTTAGGTGGTTAAAGGGGACCCCTACTCTTTTTCCACCAGCAGAAAACCTCACTGGATCCAACTGCATGCTAGCTTTCACCGTGATCCTTACTGAAGGCTGCCAAGAGATAGCAGAGCTGCTAAAATAGGATAGCTGCTAAAATTGTGAGCAGGGTGTTCTCTATTGAAATCTTCCCTAAAATGCACTGAAAGTTCTGGCCAGATGAGTCACTGCAGGATCCGTGATCGAATCTTCCCAGGGTTTTTAAAAATAGAAATGTCTGCTGTCCAGAGCCTTGACTGATGTCAAGGGGCTTTATCTCTCCCAACCCCACATGTTTAGCCAGTTGAAACTGACACCCTCTTCCCCATGTGCTGCTATTAGCCTTGGAAGGGAAAAAAAAAGATGGGTCATCCAGTTTTGGTGTTTAGATTTCTAACACCTACACAGGAGAATAATAGGGACGATGCACATACTTATGTCATTTAGATAATATATTTTTAGCCCTTCCTTCCTCTGGGGAGCTCATGGTAGCACTCATGGTCCCTTCCTCCACTTTATCCTCAGAACAACCCTGTGGGGTAGGCTAGGCTGAGAATCAGTAACTATCCCAAAGCGACCCAGCAAGTCTCATGGCAAGTGGCATTTTGAACGTGGGACTCCCAGGTCTTAGTGCAGCAGTCTAACCATTACACCAGATTGGCTACAATTGATCTTTGTTAAATAAGTTGTCCTTTCAACCAGCCTTGACCAGAAGACCAGGCAATACTGACCATGACAGATCAATGGTCTGCCTCAGTAGATTGCAGCTTCATGTGTTTCAGTGTTGAAATTAATTTTAAAGACAGTTATTGTATAGTGCTATTTGTATTGTTAGTCACTTTGGATCCTGACTCTATTGAGAAACAGGTGGGCAGATACATATTTTAAACAAATAAATCTCCTTAGTATGCTGACTTTAACATGGCAATAAAAGCAGGGCTTTCCCCCTCCAGATCATAGTTTTGCAATCATAAGGACTAGAAAGCTGCTTTTTAAATGAAAAGCGAGTTTCTTACAAAAATTGAACCTTTCCCAGTGGATTTTATTTACTTATTTGAGTTTTTAAAATGCTGTCCTGCCTTTCTGTCAACCATGGTGTTCAAAGCAGCTAATGGCAGTCTGTAAATCAATAGGCATAAAATATTAAGGTAAAACAAAACACGGAATAGCAGGTAAAACCTATTCAGAATACCCACTGCTAAAATGCTGGCACACACATGGTAGATGTACAACTAGCCAAGCACTGGAATCGGTGTGCATGCACGCTCCTTTCTATCACCATCAGCAATTCTTTAGCAGAGTGGTATGGTCCCATAGGAAACAGAAACCAACCAAAGATGAGTCCTGTTAGCACCTTAAAGACTAACAAATTGATTGCAGTGGAAGCTTTT